TGTTTTTGTCCCATAATTATGCAGAATATCCCCTATTTTGACCCATCATGCTCCACGATAGCGGGGCTGTCAAACTCATTTTTGTCGCAGGCCACATTGTAAGTTACGGATTCCCTTGGTGGGTCGTGATGACTGTGAATTTTGTGAAACCGGAGAAATGTTTCATCACCTCCACATATTACACACAGAGCGCACAACAAATTGATGGAGAACTCGTTTTGAAATCAGAAGTCAAGAATAATGACTTGTTTATGAACCCTTTCATGCACCCTGCAACCTGAGAACATAAGCTGTCCACTGTAGTGACCGCTGTTCCGGAAAGGCTTCCACTTTGTTTACGTGAATTAAATTGAAGGGCTTTGGCCACGAGGAAATGCTTGCAATATCTCGATGTCAGTGTTTTTCAAACCCTGTGCTGCGGCATTATCGGGTGTGCCGCGGGAAAATAGCCAATTTGTATGCCTGTGCGGTCTATCGCCCGGCAAAGTAATCGTGTAAGTCCCCTTCCATACCGCTAGGGTGCAGCAACAGCCAGCCATTTGCCTTGTGTTTAGACTAGAGACAAGCGAATTTGTGACGCATGAATGCAGGACGACGGTGACACAAATATGCAAGATTATGAAGTACTTTTTTCTTTGTGACGTCATTCTTCAATGTTAAAAAAAAAAAAAAAAAGGTTACAGCAACAATGTAACACGTTCATTGTTAAAATAAGCTTTTTTTTCACATTTTCAGCGAGTGGTGTGCCACGCGATTTTTTTCAATGAAAGAAGTGTGCCTTGGCTCCAAAAAGTTGGAAAAAAACACTGCTCGATGTTGTCATGGTTTGCATATGCCAGTTTGAAATTTTGGTTCAGACTTCAGCAAGCGTCCTGGAAGTTGACATGCTTGATTTGCTTTCGCGGCCCACATAAAATGATGTGGTGGGCCAGATCTGGCCCCCGGTCCTTGACTTTGACACCTGTGCAATCGATAGTCACGGTGTCCCAAATTGGCCCTTTCTCACAATCAAGAACGCACAGTACCGTCTTGTGAAGTCGCCGTTTATTTACAGCCCTGCTTAGAACGTACGCAACAAGCGGAAGTCTCTTTGTAAATTCTGACACACCTGTTATGACCCATTATGTCCCATTTTGTCCCACAATATCCCCAATTATACCCCAGAAAATGGATGGATGTTGCCCTCAACTTATATCGCCAGGACACGTTGTCCTGGTCTAGTCCTAGTTCACACAGAGCTTTACCTGCGTCTAACCGGCATTGTCAGCCTCGTCTCTCCAATTGGCTCCTTGCTATTCTTGTCGTACGATTAGATTTGGCTCCTAACTGTATTCTCGTTTCACTTCCCGTTGACGGAAATGTCCCAAAACTTTTAGGTAACCTTGTGAAGGTGGAGTAAATAGGGCGGTGGGATACTTGGCACGGTGGAAGGGCGGCTGAGGCGTTTCGCCGTTGTTGGATGCTGTCCAAATACATCCCAGCTCCGTTTCTCCCTTTCCGTTTGCCTGGCAGACGTTATTGATTTCTGGGCACTGGGCTCCTGTTGGCAGATTCTGGCCGCTGTTACACACACACACACACACACACACACACAGGCACACAGATCACGACATCGCCAGCCTGTTGGCAGCGTCGAATTTATGGACGCCCAATTTACGACTCGCTCTGGTCTGCCCGCCAGACTCGACTGGCAGAATCCAGACGCTGGAAGGCGTGTTCACGTCCCACTTTGTCGCTACTTTTAGCTCAGGCGCCCGCCCGCCCGCTCGCTCGCTTCCAGGTCAAAGCTCGACTGCCGCGCTAGTTCTTAGGGATGCGCATTGCTAATCCGGAAGTCGATGTGTGACCCGTTCGCAATACGTGTTAACGCTGCTCCCGAGGTCATCAGATTCACTCCAATGATGACACGATTCACCGAAACTCCAATTCCACATTCTGATTCATCCAATGGAGATACAAAACGATTCACTCGAATTATGATAAAATGACGAATGATATGCCCGAAAGTTTGCCAAATCTGGCCATCGAATATCGAAAATTATGATCATACATCGGATGTATTTGTATTGATTGATTGATTGATTTATTTGCCTTACCAAGTGATAATTTCTTCATATGACAACGCACTTCCTGGGTATCTGCGCGTGAACAGCTCAAGGGGCTTTTTGGAGGGGTTTGAGATCTCACTGTGTTCCTCCTTCTGGGGACTAAGGTGGAGCACTCGTCCCGAAGAAGTGTCGTTGTCTTCTTCTTCTTCTTCTTCTTCTTCTTCTTCTTCTTCTTGTGGGCTCCTCCGGAAGACCGAGCATATGTCTGGAGCTAAAGAGACATCTGGAGAGTGGCTCGGTGGCACATTTTTTTTTTTTTACCACTTCGCTGCCATCGACGAGCAGCTGTTGCATTTGCAATGCGTTGGGCCGGTTGCGTCGCGGTGGCGTAGGCGGAATTTTAAAAGCTTGAATTCTTTATTTGAATTTGATAAAACCTTCAAGTTTTCCCCTGGCGCGGGTTTGTTTTCGTCCAACGACCTCGTCTTTAGTTGTTCGAGAAATAAACCCATTCCAATAACGGCATCCACGCAAACAGTGCAAATGAACTCCTCCTTAGATGAGCAGGTTCAAAGAAATAAATAGACACCATTTTTCTTGAAGTTTCTCAAGCTGGTGCCGTTTAACCCTTTCAGGGAACAGCGGTGACTGCAGTGGGCAGCTTGTCATGTGATGAAGTTACAGGGTGTGTCGCCCTTCACTCGTCGATTTCTCCTGTGTGTTGTTTCTTTTTCGCTTGATAAGTTGCTTCGGCTCCACTTTCAAAACGGCTGTGGTACATTGTAGCTGTGCAGTGAAGTGAGTCCTCGACATTCACCGTTTGGCATTTGCAAAGTCAATTTTTTTGATTTATTTTATTTATTTATCCATCCATCCATTTTCTGATCCGCTTTTTCCTCACAAGGCTCGCGGGGGGTGCCGGAGCCTATCCCAGCCGTCTTCGGGCAGTAGGCGGGGGACACCCTGAACCGGTTGCCAGCCAATCGCAGGGCACACAGAGACGAACAACCATCGCGTTCACACTCACACTGAGGGCCACATTTATTTATTTATTTATTTCGTGGGAGTCTATCCTCCATCATTCGCTGAAAACTCGTCTGTACGCTGTTTTTGTACTCAAGCCGTCATCTTGTGGTGTCTTGGTACTAAGGAGCTTCATTGCAAAAGTTAAGCAACTTCATTGAGCAAAAGATTCGTGCTTGCCAATCGTCTCGTTGAACCGATAGGCGATTGTCAACCGATTTAGGCAGGCCTCCGCGCAGATTTTTACGATTTGAGTCAACTTTTTGAAGGGGGGGGAAAAAACACGTTTGGATAAACCTTGGCAGTGGTCTTCTTAATGTGATGTTCTTCAGCCTGAGAGCGCCCGCGGTGAACACCGAGTCAAGTACGTGTGTGTTTTCTGGTCCAAGTGGAAGGATTAAGCAAGCTGCCTTTCGTCGACGGGAGTTCCAGCTGCTGCGTGAAAAGCTTTCGGCTCGAAGGGGATAATGAACAAAATTGGAGGACACAAAGGCAAGAGTGGGAGGAGTGTGGAAGGAGGGTTTACGCTCCACCCGTTCTCTTCTGATTCTACTTCCTTGGGCTTCCCATTCCAACAATCTGCCCCCCCACCCAATCCCCCTTTAGCCCTTGTTCATTACCGTCCTCTCACCCTTTAGTTTTCTTCCCACTCATCTCTCTTCCCTCTAACCTCTCCCTCTCTTTTTCCTCTCTCTCCATCCATCCATTTGCCGGAGCAGCCCTGCAGATAATGCCTGTAATTGGAGTGACTCGCACTTTTCCAGTGTGTTTGGACCAGATAAAGAATATTGTCAGCGTTTTGCCGACACGGCCTCGGCTGCTGGAATTAAATGGACTCTGTTCTGTTCTGTCGGAAGCAAATTAAAAGGCTCTCAATTCATCTGCTCTCGCCCGAGGCTGAAGTCGGGGGGGGCTCGTATTCACAGCGTAGACCGGGATGGGGGGAGATTCCCCCCCCCACCACCACCCCGACCCTGTCCTTCTCAAGCAGTGCCTGGTGCTTTCTTTCGTTCAAGTCTGCTGTCGAGTAAGCGTCGATGGAGAAGAATAGGTCAGGACTGATATTCTGAGGGGAACGCCCGTGCCCGGTGATTTATTCACTTGTTTCGGCACCTGGAAACGCTTGACCGCATTCGCCTTTCAGTGCATTCACGGTGCAAATCGGAGTGGTGGACGACTTCTATTGACAGCTGTCAGTGAACACGCAACGGGTTACAAATAGCGTAGGCGCTGCCCTCGGGCTAAAGCGGACTGAGATAACTTGCCAGAATGAAAACTGGTTATTTATAATCACCCCCCCCCCCACCCCTTTCACTGTTTGGTATTTGTAAATTTGCCTAATCGTGTTTTTTTTTGTTTTTTTTTTGGAGCCTACCTATGTTATTCACGAACAGTATTTCAGTAGCAGTATTGCTCTGGCGCTACCTAGTGGCATCATGTTGGCAGGTATGTTGAAATTAGTTGTGGCGTTTCAGACTAGTTTTGAAGATGGACAGAGAAGGGGGCTTTGCCTTACATTATCGGACTGCCAACATGCCAGACCCAAAACACCCCCAAATTGGTTTAGAACGAAACGCGCCAAGTCATGATGGAGAAACATTTTTTTGTTTTAAAACACCTTGAGCTTGGCGATGCAGATTTGTTCCCGAAGCGGTGGCCATGCTGAGACGTGTTCTCGACACTCCACTGTTACCACGGGCAACGTGCACTCAAGGCCCAGTACAGCAACTCATTGTCATGCTTGCCAGCAGTCAAAACAAGCTCACCCGAATTCAACTTTTTTTCTCAAGGGCCATATTTTGGTGTTTAAATGCGAGTGATGGGCCAAAAATGTCAAAATGGATCTGCACTGACAAATTGTCTTTAATACTAATTCAGTGTTACTGCATTGTATTACCTAAACTGACTCCCCCCCCCATCTTGACACAGCTCGGCGTGGGTGTACGCCGGACGCCGCGTCAGGGCTGAAGCCCCGACACTCTCCCTCCCATGAGCCCGTGTGCCCGGCCGGACACGCACACCCGGCGCCGCCACGCCACGCACTCACGCACACCCGGCGCCCACCCACTCACCCGGCGACCCCCGCCACGCCAGTACAGCGGAGCCCGGTCGGAGCCCGAAGGATGTCGACGGAGACGGAGCTCCAGCCGGCGGTACGGCCCGGCAGCCTCAGGCGGGACTCTAGGAGGAAAGGTACCGCAGATGTGACCATTGCATCTCCTCAAAGCAACAATGTTGTTTGATTTTGAGGTGAGAGAGAGAGAGAGAGAGAGAGAGAGAGAGAGAGAGAGAGAGAAGAGAAGAGAGAGAGAGAGAGAGAGAGAGAGAGAGAGGGAGGAGAGAGAAAGAGAGAAGAGAAGAGAGAGAGAGGGAGGAGAGAGAGAGAGAGGAGAAAGAGAGAGAGGAGAGAGAAAGAGGAGAAAGAGAGAAGAAAAGAGGTGAGAGGGAGGAGAGAGAGAAGGAGAGAGAGGAGAGAGGAGAGAGAGAGAGAAGGAGAAAGAGGAGAGAGAGGAGAAAGAGAGAGAGAAGGAGAAAGAGGAGAGAGAGGAGAAAGAGAGAGAGAAGGAGAGAGAAAGAGAGAGAGAGGCAGACAGAGAGAGTGAGAGAGAGGAGAAAGAGAGAGAGAAGGAGAGAGAAAGAGGAGAAAGAGGGAAGAGAAGAGGTGAGAGGGAGGAGAGACAGGGAGGAGAGAGAGAAGGAGAGAGAGGAGAGAGGGGAGAAAGAGAGAGAGAAGGAGAGAGAAAGAGAGAGAGAGAGACAGAGAGAGTGAGAGAGGAGAGAGAGAGAAGGAGAGAGAGGAGAGAGAGGAGAAAGAGAGAGAGAAGGAGAGAGAAAGAGAGAGAGACAGAGAGAGTGAGAGAGAGGAGAGAGAGAGAGAGAAGGAGAGAGAGTAGAAAGAGAGAGAGAGGAGAGAGGAGAAAGAGAGAGAGACAGACAGAGAGAGTGAGAGAGAGGAGAGAGAGAGAAGGGAGAGAGAGAGAGGAGAAAGAGAGAGAGAAAAGGAGAGAGAGAGAGAGAGAGACAGAGAGAGTGAGAGAGAGAAGAAGAGAGAGGAGAGAGAGGGAGAGAAGCCAGCTGCTCGATGCCACCTGGCTGACTGTGGGAGCGGCATGTAGCACTCTCCCAATAAGCACCTGACTGATGTAGCACAAAAAAAGCTGGACATGGCAACAGCTGACATTCAACACACACACACACACACACACACACACACACACACACACACACACACACACACAGAAGCCAGGCGCGTGTGTTTGTGAATATGTGAACGGGCTGCCCCCTATGTCCAATTTAGATAGACCTTTGTCTCGCCACCATGGAAATCACGTTCATCATTCACACTTCCCTCTATATTTGGGGGGAGATGAAGACACATTTTCATGCATGCACACTTACACACACACACGCGCACGCACACACAACGTTGGGATTGAAGCCCAGAAGCGCATATGAGAGGTAAGATTAATGGTTTGCCTTCAGCATTGAGACTTGGGGGTGCTTTAACATCTCCTGTTTGCCTTTTCTCTTCCTTTTACACACACACACACACACACACACAGTGTCAGTGTGTGTTGCACCTCTTATCTCAATCCCTGAATGAAATCAGCGTGGAAAATGTGAAATGATGAATTTAAAAATCAAAGAATAAATGATGTGCCTTATGTCAGCGGGAAATACTTGCGTCACGTGTCGATTATTTGCAAATCTTAAAAGCTGAGAGATTTTCCCGATTGAAATCATCAAACAATTGATCATCTAAATTCTAGAAATATAAAAATAGAGGGTTTTAATTCATAATATGAAAAGTAACTCTGTAAAAATTTAAAAATAAAATATTGATCATGAAAGGACATCTTGTGATAAATATGCTCAATAGAACAATCAAATTAGAATGAGGTCAAATAAATGATCTAAAAAGAAGATACATGAGAGTAAACAAAAAAGAACAAAAGTAAAATAAGTTGCACTATCTAAAAAGTAGAATAAACAAATGTAAAGAAAAAATGAAGAAAAACAATGAAATAAAAAATTAAAATGTCAATAAATAACGACACAAAAACAGGTACGATGACTGGAAATTGAATCCTAATCTGGAATGTGTGTTGTTCCATAAAAAAAAAAATTAAAAAGGAATTGAAATTCCACCCATCCATCCATTTTCGAATCTGTATCCCCATGAGGGTCGTGGGTGTGCTGGAGCCTATCCCAGCTGCCTTCGGCAGGGGACACCCTGAACCGGTTGTCAGCCAATCGCAGAGCACACAGAGACGAACAACCGTCCGCGCTCCAAATAAGCCTGCCGTGCATGTTTTTGGAATGTGGGAGGAAACCGGAGCACCCGGAGAAAACCCACGCAAGCAGAACGTGTGAAATCCACGCAGGAGCCCGGAATCCAACCCCGATCCCCGCAGTTTGAGGCGTCCATGCTAACCAGTCGTTCACTGTGCCGCCCAAATCCAACCGCGTTAGCCGCGTTATCATGAGCAACATCAAGGAAACGCTCCATTGGAACATTCGCAGCGACACACTTCAGACTCACAGTGGGAACGCATCACTCCTCTCATCTGGGTCATTGCGCCTCACACACACACACACACACACACGCACACACACACACACACATGCGTGCGCGGCAGTTGTGTGAAAGTCCAATGCAACTGTTGGCCACACAATCAAGAAGTGTAAAGTTTGCTAATGCTCCTGTTGTTGTTGAGCGTCTGACATCATGTGCGTCGTGCATCCTCGTCATCTCATTCAATGAAAATGGCTCCATGACTGATCGTCATTTTGGGGGAGGATCCCCAGCAGGATAGGCCCTCATTCCTCCACAATGTCCTCCTCCTCCTCCTCTTCCTCCTCTTGCCTCCTTCATGACCTTGCAGGAGGAGACACGACGAGCAAAGAGACTCATGTGAGGCCGAGCTGTTTAATCGTCCGCCTTTTGTCTCGCAGCTCTGCTTTGAATGCGAACGAATGCGCGTTGCATCCGTCGTTCGCTGTGTCACTTCCTTGGTGCCAGTTTTTTTCCCCCCCCTTCCTCTCCGTTTTTTTTATTCAATTATCATGACAAAGGGAGAGATAACCCCTGGCCTTTGTCGTATTGAAGGAGCGCGGCTTGCCCCCCCCCCCTCCTCCCCCCACGCTTGGCTCGACAGCCGACGGGTCGCTCCCCATTATTAGCGGTCAAGCGATTCTCAGAGTGCTCGAGTCCCGCTTAATCCTCGGTTAAATCCACCGAGATTGGGTCCATCTCGTGCTCCAAATTGCTTCTGAATGCCCAATGAAGCAACACTCCATTCCGTCACACTTTTTTTCTTTAAAACTTTTGAAAAGGAATGGCCGTTGTCTGCGCGGCGCGCCAGTGGTTAGCATTTCTGCCTCGCGGTTCTACGGTTATGGATTCGAACCTCGGCTCCAGTTTTGCATGTCCTCCTTGCGTTTCATATCGTGGTCTGATTTTCATTTCAAGTGCATTATAGTTGGTCGAATCCCTTTGCTGTAGTGCGAATCGGAAATGGTTACGACTAAAACCAAAATAGTCAACAAGTCATCACTCCATTTGACATTTTTGCGCGTCCACTACTGACAGATATGTCCCCCAGATTTTGCGTCGATCAGTTTAGCAGGTATTGGGGCCAATGTTTTCAAACTTGCTCTGTGACTTTTGGGCTGACGATCATCATCATTCCTGCGGCGTCCAAACAAGACGCGCACGACCCCATCTGTCTTTATTTTATGGCTGCAAATAGGATAACGGCCGACACAAACGCGCACGACTGACAGCACACAGGCGGGTGGCGTTGTGACAACAACAGTGTGTGTTTGTGTGCATTGGCTTGTCTCTCGCGTGTGATTAGCCGACACATTATCTTCTTTGGTGTGGATATGATGCACATGTGCAGTCTCTCTGGAGCCATCACCGGAGCCATTCAGCCTAATATTGGTCCCCAGGGAATTGTTGGACACAGTATTTTCAATATGTGCTTTTGTGTGTGTGTGCGTGTGCGTGTGTGTGTTTTTTGCATGTGTGTGTGTGTGTGTGTGTGTGTGTGTGTGTGTGTGCGTGTGTTTTCTCCTGAGAGCTAATCAGATCTGTTCCCGCCAATCAAACTCAAGATGGAATTGAATTGGCCCAGTACTGTTGCGGTTGTCATTGCTGGCCAGAGGTGGATGCGAGAGGACAAAAAAATTCTAATGGCACATTGTGTAACGTCTTTTTTTTTTTTTTTTTTTTTTGCTATGTCCTTGTTGCATCAGTCTCCTCTGTCTGCTTATTTCCGGAAAAGTAAAGATGTAATTTCATACCGCTGCTAATGAAGTTAAAAAAAAAAAAAAAAAAAGACGACGTACCAACTAAACTGGAGTCCTCCCAGAGTGAGAGGGAATAGTTGAAATAAATCATCTTAAAATTTAAAGAAATATATCATTGGAATAGGGCTGGCCGGTGTGGTCGAGTGGTTAGCGTGTCGACCTCACAGTGGAGAGGTCGTGGGTTCGATCCCGGCTCCGGTTTCCTGTGTGGAGTTTGCATGTTCGCCCCGGGCCTGCGTGGGTTTTCTCCGGGTACTCCGGTTTCCTCCCACATTCCAAAAACATGCATGGCAGGCTGATTGAACACTCGAAATTGTCCTAAGGGGTGAGTGTGAGCACGCATGGTTGTTCGTCTCTGTGTGTCCTGCGATTGGGGGGCAACCGGTTCAGGGTGTCCCCCGCTTACGATGAAGCGGGTTGGAAAATGGATGGATGGATATAATTGGAATGTAAAGCTTGTGTTGACTGAGAATTGCTACAACATAGTACAAAAGAATTGTAAAACAAACAAGCAAACGAACAACCCCAAGGTGAAAATCTTACTCTCATGTCCATTACATGCACAGTTCGTCACCCAAAAAAAAAAAAAAAAAATGGGAAAACTACAAATACAAAAATGAAAATGGAACAAACAGGACAATTAAAATGCAAATTAAAACCCATGTGCAAAATAGGATTTATTTAAAACAAAATCAAAATCCATCAAACTATGTGCATGTTCATAATGTAAGCTTTCATACAGTTTGACCGAGCTCTGTCATGCATCATAAGACAAGGCAACTTTCCATCATATCCATCAAATTTCCAACAGGTCTCACTCGCCCACTCATTGGAATAAACAGCCGAGATGACACACTCATGGTCAAAAACATCCCACC